GAAAAAAGTTACAATTATCGACAGATATTCATTTTTTTCCAATATCGAGACTTGTCTTAATTTTTAGCTTCAAATGTATTACTTCTAAAATATTTTACTTGATCTCAAATTAAAGATAAAGAAGCAATCTTTCAACAAATGTTTATAAATAATTGCATACTTTTATATTATTTTTGAATTGTTTATAATGTTTAAAACAAGGTTTTAAGATAATCCCTCAGATTTTGTGTTCTGACTCGACGGCAATAAATTATTTCCACTTTCATCTTCATCTCTATAAATTTTCAAAACTGCTTCTGTTTTAGAACACGTTAAAAATTAATATTCAACGGAGTGCGGAATATTTTCTCGACCACTGCGGTGCGCCGGTGCCATACCTTTGTCAATACATTCTGTCTTCCTACACTTGCGGCATTATACAACACTGCCCACGGCCGTTCATAGATGACAGCAGGTCGTTTTCCACCCAAGGCAATGGTAGGAAGTCGACCAAGCAATACTGGGACGAGCTCACACCCAAGAGTGCCTTTATTTTCGACCGAGCCACAGGGGCGTGATACGTTCTGTTCTACTCTAGCAGTGTCACAGTGCTAGTAATAAACTCGTTTGTGACGTATGTGTGAGGGCCCGTCGGTTTTTTCTTGTGTAAGTAAAATTAATTGAAGATGGCAGCTGTAAAGAAGATACGCTTTAACTCATGTTTCAGTTAAGAAAATTATGGCAGAGCAGAATGTAAAAAGTTAAGATGTGTAACACTAAGTATCCTTCAAAAGTTGGGCATGGAAGATTTACAAATTATGTCGAACATGAAAATTTGTCACAGATGCAGATGGAAAACTCCAAAATTGTTTATAAATGAAAGTAAAACTTCTAAAGAAACCGTTGAAACATTTTGAAGCAAACCTGGTACAAATCAACAGGGTAGAAATTCAGAAGAAGACAGTAATTCGAAATTGAACATTGAAATGTGAGATGATGGTGATCTATTTCCCAGTGAAGCAGAAGCTTCGCCAGCCAAGAGTGTAAAATTATCACATATTAATGAAAGTGTAACTATGTTGGTCGAAACCCCTATAAGGAAAAATAAACTGAGTCAAAAAGCGGAGTTGAAAAGTGGAGAAAATAAGACGAACCTCCGAGACATAAATATTCGATTTAGAAGATGTAAGAGAAGAAAAACAAGAAAATGACGAATACAGGATAGAAAGATGTTCAGATGATGTAGCCGTATCATGAGTGGAAAAAATAATTTTATATCGATGAGAGAGAATGGGGGAAAGGTTTATACTGATACCGAAGAGACTGACACTGAGTAACCTGAAAGAAACCTACCGACATTTTCAAGAAAGTTTCCGCATCAAAGGGTCAGCTTTTCAAAGTTAGTTGAATGAAGACCGAAACATTTCATTTTACCAGGAGCAAACAGTACACATACAGTGAGTGTTTGTGCATTCCACAAAAACGTCAAATTACTGTTTGACGGAGGAGGCCTCGCAAACAGCAGATGCTGTTAATGCATTGAAGGATTATCGGGACTGTCTGACAAAAGTTATTTGTGACACTCCAAGACCTGAGTGTTACTTTGAAAAGGGTGACAAATGTCTTGGAACAGACTAACTACTTACGATGTTGCAGGAAACGTTTGAACAGAGAATGATTGACAGCGTGACGTAATGGCAATGGATTCACGTTGACAGAAGGAGTTCGGAAATTTTAGTGTCATCTGTGGAGCAATAATTAGAAAGATTTTAAACTAAAATAGAAGCTCCTTTCTAACTCGGTGCAAAGGTAACTTAGCAGACGGAGAAATTATTATTTTATGTGATTTTCAGAAAATTATTCCTTCATAATTCAGGATTCAGTACAAGGTATGCACTGGAATAATGATCACGCAACTACACACCATTGTATTGCTTAATTAAGAGAAAATGGCATTGTGATGCATAAAAATGTTGTTGCAATTTCTCAAAATCTACACTGATGCAGTACATCTTTTTCAACGAAGTATAATAAATGTCTTAAAGTCTGAGATCAAGAACATAGAAAAAAGTGTATTTATCTGATAGTGATAGTGCTCAGTATGAAAACAAAATAAGTTTCTTGAATATTTCTATACATAAGAAAGATTTTGGAGTAAGTGCAAAGAGGCATTTCTTTGCAACGTCACATGGTAATGGCCCTTGTGATGCTATAGGTGGCACTTTGAAGAGGTTAACATCAAGAGCTTCAAGTACTTCAATATTCCCAAGAAGTTCTATGAGTGGTCACAAAAAAACATACAAAACATAGTGTTTTTCATCTTTACGAATAGAGATCACGAGAAAAAAAGAAATCACAAGAATAGTATTAGGAATGCAGCAAACGCGCTGTACATTTCTTTGTTCCTGTTCGTGAAGATAAAGCAATTAAAACGTACTCCTTGAAAGAAAATAGAGATCTTGTCCACGTTATTTGAAGATAAACTTAAAAAAAGTAAATTTGACACATCTTCATATATTTTGTTTCGGGATCTTAACCAGAACTTTAAAACTCGTTGCTCAGTGAACATTTGCACTCATCTACCTGTTGTCAAGTATGTTCTCCCCAGAGTTTAATTCGATTGTGGCAGATTCAACGACGGGCGCCTGAGGTTGTCGTGGCGCTGTGAAGGTGGTACGATTTAATAAATTCGCAAAAAATTATTTTAACAGAAGACATTTCCCCCCCAGATTTTCAATTTGTGTAAAATGATAATAATTTAAAAAAAGAAAATACATAAACAAAAAACCTAACATTAAAAATATAGTTTCAGAAACAGAAAGATAAATTTAAGCTTTTTTTAAGATAAACACGAAACTGATATTTTATGAAGATTATGAGATATAAAATTATATATATATATATATATATATATAAACATATATATATATAAATACATAAATATATAAGTGCGCATGCAATTAAGGGAAATTAAAAAATAAAAAAGTTAAAAATATAAATATTTGTGCAAAACTAAATCAGACGTGTGGTATCGTTTGTATTCATGACCCCATAAAAACAATCAGAAAGATATGAGACGTCGTTGTCAATTATCCTTCAAATTCGTACAGTTTTGCGTCGAATTATCCATATTACTTTTTTCAATATTCGAAAATGCAGAGAGTTTGCAAACAAGAGACCAGCGCAACTTTTTGAAAGTCATACATACAAGAAGATACATACGTACATACAAGAAGAACATTTGAACAAAAATGTTCCTGTTTTTTTAAGAAAATAATTGACTTTTAGGCTGTCCGGGTGACGCCGCGTCGGCCTATCTGCCAACGACGCGGCGTCACCCGGACAGTCTAGAACTCATGAACTCGAGCCGCGGAAGCCTACGTGTATAAGAAAATAATTGTTTAAAAATTGCCTCATTGGCCAAAAAGCTACAGAGTTCAAAGCTACACCACAACGACTGTCGGTTAGTATTCTACATTGAAGCAAAGATGCAACAGTCTCTATTATATCTGTTTAAGGAGAGCAGAAGATGCTTTGGCTCATAGCATTCATGACATTGTAAATGAATAGTAAACTAGTAGTACGTTATTTTATAAATTTGTATAAAATGTTTAAACAGATGATCAATGTCATCCCTTTTACATTTTGAGCGTAATTCGAATATTTCCCAGACCTCATACGTTTTTTGTTTTGCGTCATTTAGCCCTCAGCACAGACATAACTATCGGTTGTGAGGTGTGCCACGTATCTCCCATACATGACACCTATACCAGTATCTCCTATGCATGACGTTTCTTTGCCTCGTGACCAGTGAGTAGGAGCTTCGAGCGCACGTTTCGCAAGGTGGAGCCCCGTTTTCTCGTTGATAGCGGTGAAACCGGTAGTGAACACCGTCGCAAAAGGGTCGCTTTTGAGTAGTCTCATGAAACGTATGCTATTTTAAATACCTGTATATTAAGGAAGAGTGTAATATACGCGCTAGGGTTGTGTAGAAGATTGCACTGAACGAGTGCATGTTTACACGTTTTCTGAAGAGTTGAGGTAAGTATAGTTTTGTAAGCAATCAATACATTTGCTTCCTGAAGCAGTGTCTCTCTAACAAAGTATTTGGGAACTCGCTTGTAATTCCTTAATAATATTTACATATTTGATAAAATCTATTTGCCTGCTCCAATTCTTTACCTTTCTGCTATTTTCAGATTGTGAATTTACTAAATTTCTTGATTTGTTCAAATAATATTTGCTTTGCACGCCTTGAAAAGGGTTTCTCTATCCAATTTCATTTTGCACTTTATTAGCAATACAAAATTGTTGGTCACCTGGATTATGAAATTGGCTGTTTATCTAAAAACATTAATTTTGAATGTAACTCCGTTTTCATGCTTGTACCCTTAGGTAGTAAGAATGAATCTGAATACAAAGGAAATGGGTTTATGGGATGGGAAATGGGAAATAGGGTTTTTCATATTATCGAAGAAGAAGGTGTTGCATATTACTGAAATCTTCTACATTTATATTGTTGCTCTGAATTGCATAAAAGTATTGGAATAAATAAGCAATGAATAGTTTCACAAACAACAATGGTACTAACATAATACAAAATATTATCCTATAGATGTTCTCATTCGTTTATTGTTTTGGACTGTAGCGTTCGGTAATATAGTCTAAAATTTAAAAAAATGGTAATAAATTTAAATAATGGAATTATAACTTGGATGAAACGTATTAAACGAATTATAAGTTGATCGAAATTTAATTCAAGAGTACTAAATAAACATAAATAACTAATATCTAATGAAATCTAATAACAATAAAACATGCCTTCAGAATTTATGTTTTAATGCGTAACTACTAATTAAATAGAACACGATTATACGTATCGTTAAAAACTGCAAACTTACTGAACACAAAAGAAGTGAAACCAAAGCTTCACTTGTGCAGATGTTTTTGTTCTAAATTATCTCCAACTTTTCCATTGTTCTCAACAGCCTGCACCATGATTGAAATAAGAAATATTCTAGTATGGTTTCTGATGCTCGGAGCAATGGCTTGGACAATTCACGCCATTCACTGCGAAAAACCTGTCCCCACATGCACCTTCATGTACGAAGATGGATGCCCCGCAATCAACGAAACAACTTGCAATGCATCAGGAGGTTCTTACCTGAATGGTGGTAATTCCGCATGCAATAATAGCTGCGGAATTTGTTTGCATTATGTTGGTAAGTTTCCAATTACAATCTTTATATTTTATTTCTAAATCAATTCAATCTGTTCTATATCAAGGGGCAGGGGCATGGCCGTCATACCCCATTCCTACAAAGCCTACTTTTCTAATTTTACTCAATTTATTGCAAATAACTCGTTGTAATCGCAATCTTAAGGAGTACTTTATTATAAAAATGCATTCATTTTCTAGAAGCCATTTAGTTTAATTTTTAATATTTAAATATTTTCGGCGAGAGGAAGGGAGTCCAAATGAAATTTAACTCACCTTCTCACAATGCTTTGTGGATATGCCCCTACCTCACATCTGAAATTAAAATGCTCTGTGAAATGATCTAAACATGCTTCATTGTTCTACAGGGATACAGGAGCGCTGCAACCTCACTCTCGTAACTAAAGAGAACATGTTAAAGACAGTGCTGTGCCAACCACCGTTAGTGTGCACCAGGGTATCGGATGGCATTTGTGTGGAACCTCAAAACTGTTCTTCACCCACAAACGATGCACATCATGTTCACCAGACGATACACATATGGACTCTTACAATATCCCTCATTTTCAGTACATTCTTATGGTTTTGATATTAGATGAGTGTTAATGTCATGCTTTTATATATAATGTTTAAGAAAATCTGACGTTTAGTGTTTTGAATTACTGAACTAAAGAGGAATATTTGTGTTGAAATAATTTATTTTTACTCTTCAAACGTATCTACTGTATGGTTATATTATATTGCTTTATTATAATATTTTTTTAGAAACCAAGACGTCCTTCGCAAAGTAATATGAATTCACAAATTTGTATTTCATTTTAATGCATTCCACAATAAAGTTCACTTCTTTTTCATTCACTGATGGATATTCTACTACAAACATATGTTGGCGATTTTATTATAATTACTGGTGCGGGTCCAGTTCTCCAATTAAAGACACAAATTGCTCACAGCTGTCTGCCAGGCCCAGAGATAATGGAAGAATTATGGTATAAATATTCGGAATGCCCTACACGCTTCAAGAACAACTGAAAACATTCAACATGTTTTCGTATCCACAGCCTTTGGATCCACGTACATTGGCTCACCTTCCCCAAATCCTTTTCTCAAGTGGCCAATCATGTCTCTATAGTAATTTTAAACGTGCTTTAGATTTGTAACATTCGATAACATGTAAAATATGTTGCAATTAACTAACTAGAATTGGTATGTTTATGACTTACGCGGCTTATTTTACTTTGTCAGTGGCGGATCGTGCGTGGTTGCACAACCCCCAGATAATCGTAAATTCCTTTTCATAAGTAATTTTGCTAGTAGTTTGTCGATAAGTTCACGAGTCGTGTAGCGACGAGCGGAATATTTCACGAATAACAGTCATCAATCAATTAAATAGTGTGTACATTAGTTTAAAAATGGCGAAAAGTATTTCTTGCTGGGTTGTTTTAGACGCTGTATTATTTACAGCAATTTTTTGCCACAGAACAAATATTTTTTTAAACCACAATAAGTGAAACATTTGACGATAGAGAAAATAACAAAATTAATTTGAGCATGTCGGTTACTTAAACGCACAATAATAAAAATTAGAATTACGAAAATTAAAAATTAACACTATTCGGGATTTCGTTTTCCCTACAAGTTCCTTTAAAAATGAATTTTGCTGCAGATGATTTTGCTAGTTATATGGTTTATTAACGAAGGCCAATCGAGAGAAATGGATGAGGCGCAAAGGCGGCAAAAGTGAAAGTGGGTGATGAGAGTGAGGAACAGATAGAGCGGAAGTGGCTGGAAGGACAGGGCGGGATGAATGGACGGGTCAGGAGGTGTGAGCAGACAGAGCGGAATTCACTGGTTGGGAGAGGCAGAAGTTGCAGACAGGACATGCATGGTAGGCCGAACAGAAAGGGTGAACGGTATGAACGATGCCTGAGATGCAGGAGGAACAGATATAGCGATTTCAACGCGATTTTAGCGGTTATGATTACGCATATGTTATGTTGCTAATGTTGCAAAGCTCCGAATCCAGTTTTGCTTATGATTAAAAAATATATATAACTAAGAAACTGAACATGGTTTCAAATTAGGACCTCAGAATTCTTTTAACTTATAGTGTTTTAAATTGGACTTTATAAAGCACGCTGAGTAAAATTTTAGATAATTTCTTTACTGATTTGTTATTTCAACACATTATTAATAATATTTACTATTAGAACATCTAATTATACATAACTTTAAGAGCAAAATTCATTTTAACTGACAAAAATCAGGTGGATATAATAATAACTGAACGCGTTTCAAATAAGCACGTTTTCTGACGATCCACTGCGAGAATACCGCGCGGGACGTACAGAGTAGAACCGCATTATCTTAGTGGGTATGAACCTGTGCTTTGTTACGATGCCGAATCTGTAAATTATTGGTACCACTACAACTAATCCAATGCATAAAACTTACTAATTACGATTTCCTTATTTTATTTCCCCTTGATTTAGGGATTTGAGACCATTGTGTGACGGACGGACAGACAGACAGACAGACAAACAAACAGGCAGACAGGCAGACAGACAGACACACGTAGAGCCATCAATCGATTTGTCGGTGAGAAAAACCCACAAAACATGAGTTCTGAGTAAACAACGTGTTAGCGGCAGTGCTTTATTACTCATAGGAAATTTTAATATTTTTTAACAAAAAATGTTAATTTTAGGGAACAATCAAGATGTTGCCGTGATTTAATGAGCTTCTGAATTCTGCGACCTTCATTTTTGAAATCACAGTACACAGATTAGAACACACGACAAAATGCTATTTGTCAGGCCGAAAAAGAGGCTTCTTAACAAACTTCTATCAGAGCATTATTTCCCTTAGCATATATTTGACAAAATTAAATTAGTAGCCACCCCAAGGCATAAACATTACTTATAAGTTACAGTGTTCAAATCTCCATTAAAACAGCAATTTATTATTGCTACATTTTGTCAAAAACACCGCAGTCACTATTACATCTGTTTTAGGAGGACTGAAGTTGGATCGTGATATTGTAAAGGGTTTGTAAATTGATTCGAGATTCGTGATATTGTAAAGAGATAGTAAAGTAGTGATGCATTATTTTATCAATCTATACAAAATGTTTAAATACTGTATGGTCAGTGCCCTCGTTTATACGTTTTGAGCCTCTTCCGAATGCTTCTCAGATCCCATTTGTTCCTTGCTTTGCGCCATATATACCTTTGCACAAACGTAACTATCCTTTCTGATACGAATCGCATTCAATAAAGAGTTTCTCCTGTGTCTATCGTATATTAATCTCGTGACCGACGAGGAGGAGTGCAAGGTCGAGAGCAATTTCCCCGAGGTGGAGCCCCGTTTCCTCGTTGATAGCGGTGAAACCTGGAATGAACACCGACGCAAAAGGGTCGCATTTGCGTAGTCTCATAAATAGTGTGCTATTTTAAATACTTGTATATTAAGGAAGAGTGCAATATTCGCGCTAGGTTTGTGTAGACCTAGTAATATGAATCACCTACTTTTGTGTTAGATATTAGTGCATTTCTCAATAAAGTTCACATCTTACATCATTGATTGATATTTTGCTATATACTATATATGTGAAAAATGTTATCTCGTATTAATTATGCAATGGTTTTTTGTCAAAATATTCGAAGGTACAAAATGATCGTATTGTACCTTTTTGATAAAAAAGACTTAAAAAATAGATCCACAGAAATCTTTCAGAACCTCACTTTGAATTCTAGTGGTCAGTTATACTTGGATTTCGAATCCACAGCCTAAATGTGCACGTACTTTGGCTCGCCTTCCACAAGCTTCTACCTCAAGAGGCTAAATTATTTTACCGTAGTAATTGTAAACGTGTTTTGAATATTTAACATTTGAAAAAATCAATTATCTAACTAATATTGACCTTTTTATTTCCTACGTGACCTTCATTGTACATTTTAACATTTAATCCATGCTTCTTAATCAGTGGAGGCTTGACAGTGAGGTTGGGCAGTTGGACGAGCACCAGACAATCTTAAAGTTTTCATTATTTGAAATACAACCTTTTGATTGAATGTCATAATCGATCCTTTGTAGAAATATCGATTTATGGAGTCATTTTGAAATCAAAGAGCGCACGTCGAGTGCTGTCACTGGCGTCTCGTTGCAAACCAGGCAAGTCAGCGGTGTGTGGCTTCCGGCAATTATGGGTTTAACATTGCGAAGCACGAGATTCCCGGTTCCACGAGTTTACCTATGACAACTGGCAATTCCCTGAGCGTTGTAGTATCGCCACGATTTTCAACGTGGAGTGCTGGATCTCATCGCGATATCGTCCACGCTCCTACTGACGGTCTTTGTGAAATGAATCAGACAAATCTTTCGAAACGAGGTAAGTAGCTTATATGCTTTTCTGCATATTTTTGTGTGAGATATTTTCTTAGCCGCAATATTACAATACTTTCTCTGTACTGCGACAGTAGAATCAGTGATAGTAATAAGTCATGAAATTTAATAAAATATTGTATGTCAATGTGATCTGAAAATTATTTTTTAAGGGGCGAACGGAAGTTACACTCAAATTTCCTCGGGCCTTAGGCAAAGTGTAACTCACCGAAATTGATTTAGCAGTTCCCGAGATAAACGTGGAGAGAAGACAGACATGTAAAAACGTTTTATGTCCTGTAAATAACCTTGGTCGTATAAAAATGAGATATTTTGACATCACAGACACTTGAACTGTACTAATTAAAGTAAATGGTACGTATAAATAAACATAAATATTGTCATTATAGTTGAGGCCAAACTCCATCCAAGGAAGGTCAACAACCATACCTGATAATGAAGAAGTATTATCAGTGAAGATAAACATATAACTGAAGTCAGTTTCATCCACCAACAGGTGACGTTTAGCATTTAACACATTTAGTCTGCAGATTGAAATCTAGGAAATTCATATTTATTTTACTACTTTGTATGTGAAGCAGGTGAGTGGAAACGATTTTTATTGATGCTTTGGTTTTTATTTTAAACTTCGTTTCGGTTTATCTTCGCCTATGATATTGCATATACGAAAGATATATTCTAAAAATACGTATTAAGTAGATAATTTAACGTGATATATAGCTTCATAAGCAATATAAATCATCCGAGGGCAACTATGATTAAAACCCTCAACGAAAATGTCTTTCTATTGAAAAAGGTGTTGCACTTCAACTATCTTCTAAAACCGCATTTTCTAGCGACTGTGACAATCTACGTAATAATGTCTTACTGTGCCACATGTCAAGGAACGAGACCAAAAAGTTAAATTTTACACTTAGCTAAGACGTTTTCCAAAAGTTTGACAAAGTTACTTAAATGTCCCAGAAAGATCGAAAAATAAAAATGTAATGTAGGTAATAATATGCTTCCCATCCCTTAGGAATCACTGCAAAGGAAGACAGAGATATGTTTGGAAATACAGGACCACAGTTACTACAGGTACTGCTTCTGATGGTGTTGACAATTGTGACATTTGCAATTGAATGTAACAAGCCAGTTATTCCTGACGGTTGTGGAGGAGGATGTTTAGTCTTGGATAAAGATGCATGTATTGCATCTAATAGAACATACATAGAAAGGGGATCTATCTGTCACTGCGATATCTGTGTAAAACGCGTCGGTAAGTTTGTTTACATTGCTATTTAATTTCTTCTAATGTATTTGGATATAATTGTTTATATAATTGGTGGAGTTGCTTAAACATTCTGTATAATCAAGGACCGGATTTTAAGGCAAAATACGTATTTTTCCATGCAGTTAGAAAGTATGTTTACTTAAAATCTGTACAAAGTATCAATTTCCAACCATAACAATAGTTTTATGTTCATTTAACATCGAATCAACAACTAGGTCACATTATTGTTGATCACATTATTGTTGTAACGTTAGGGTATACGTGAGTATGGACAATCTGTTGTCAATAGGACCTCCAGGTAGCATCTGCACGTAGGCGCTTCTTTACACGCGCTCCTACGTCTCTACCCAGCGACCAGAATTGGGAAGGAATTATAACAGTGGTATGGTTTAGGACACTTCACAGCAGCTGTACTAGACCCTGAGAAGCAGCCAAGTTCGTTGCCATTTGTTGTTCGTTTGCAGCCATTTGTCGTAACAAATTTTACATGAGATTGTCCGGGAATCTAACCTAAGTCTCCTTGGTGAAAGACAAGCGACTTTCGCTCTGTGCCACGAGATGTCCTCAACACGATTTTATGGTGCATATTTTGCCTGATTTCTTAACCATTACTTATAGCGCTCTGGACAGAGCTGTAAAATGTTCTAGCAATCTCGGTTAAATCAATATCCAGCTTTCACGGCTATTCAGATTTCAGTAAACTTATGTCTAATGGGAAAATAAAATGTTTAAAAATGTGGAAACGCAACATAATAATAAACATTATATTTTTACAACTACAAATTATTTTGCATATTTTTCTTGAAAACATTGTTACACCTATTTATTTCTATTTATTTTAATTTGAAATTTTTATTTTTGATTGCAAATGTGTGTATTTATGTAGTGCGTTCCTGCGAATATCGATTTTCTGTATCTTTGTTCCTCAAGATATTGATCTGGAAAATCGCGATCGTTTTGATTAATACGTGCTGCCTAGTCGATCTTGAAAGCCAGTATCGCTGATGAGCTCTTGAACGAATCTTGTCTCCAATATATTACGTCACAGAGAGACTTATATCATGAGAAAAACGACATGAAACAGAACGAAAATCCCTTTTCACAGATTGAAGACACATACTTTAGATGCCATTTTAGTGCATATTTTGAAGATTTTGTAGAAAAAATTCATACATATTTAATGGATTATTACATTATCACAATACAATACAATATATCTTTAATACCTTAGAAGAAACAAATAACATATGAAAACATATTTTTACGAAAAAACAGTATACGTCACCAACGTCAGATATTTTGAACTAGTACTTAAGCGTGAATAAACAAACAACTGAACTTATTGGATGCCAATTACGGATTTCACGTCAGTTTTAAGATACAGTGAATTAATGAGACAATTAACAGGGGTACGAACACTATCTTGTTTGGGTAAACCATTTTATGAAATGTACGCTATGTCCCTAATTACACAAACGCCCACTACTCAGCAATTAGAAGAAATGTAGAAAACTAGCGGCTTTTAGCCGTAAAATTGTTGTTAAACAAAACCACACAAAATGGTTTTCCGGAAAGTAGGACACACTTCTTAAGATCAACAAATAATGTACTATCGTATAAAACTGAAACAAATTAAATATTTTATCAAAAATAATCTTAATGAACACTGCAACAATATATAGTATATATACAAACGTTTTTTTACGTACCGAGAATATAAAAAAGTAGTTATTCAAAAACACAATACATACATGCAATTTTAAATGGCGAGTGGCCTCTTCCCTTCAGCCTTGCTGGATATGAAGTGAGCTGTGACTTAAGAAGTGATGTAGTGAGTATGCATATTCAGTCGGTACGCTCATTGTGAAAATAAGCAGAATAAAAAAAAATATTTGCATTCTTTAGACAAATTCGAAACTGTTTTAATTTTTTCTTATTTTTTCATTTTCGTGGGCATCTAACAAAACCTAATACTTCTGTCAAATGGCCAGAGCTTCCACATTTTTTGCAATTTCAGCGCGGATTTGACATAACTACGGGTATATTATTAGTGGAATTCAATATACCACTTATTACATTTTCAGAAGAAAATTAACTTTCATATTCACTCGGATCAAAAAAAGATTTTGAAATTTGTATCAAAGTGGGAGAACTACGTACACAATTTCTATACACTAACCGATACTCCATTTATTGTATTCACGATATTTCAAACTAATGTATTTACCCGAATACTTTTACACGTCGACTTAATATTTAACAACCACTAATTTGAAGAGGCCTTCTGATTTTGAATTTATTAAACATTCAATTAATTTTTGCTATTTAGTCAAAATGAAATTGCAAATTGTTTAATGGGCTACACGGACTCGTCAAACCCCCTTCGTGTAAGAAAACATTCATTTTCACGTTACGTTTTGATTGGTGCAATGCCATTAGTTTGAGATTCTCTGATTACCGGTTTATTCAAAACATATGTCTGATTTTCCCGGCAAATTCGCTGTTAATATCGAGAATACCACCGCGAATATATTAGTTAGTACGTATTGTAGAGACGCTCGATATTTTTACCGTCTTCGAAGCCTATTGTTACGTCAACATTTACGAGCTTCCTGACATGGAAAGGCAATATAAAAACATAAATCCTAACTGACCTGACTTAAAATCTAGAAATAAACGATGACCCCGCATTTTTACCTCAGATATTTAGGAAAAACATCTATTCGGTTAAATATGCATTTTTTTAGGCATTCTGCCATTTAAGCAATTTTAATTAAATGCCATACCAACAATTCAAGGGCTAATTGAGCATGCATTTTAAAGCCTGACTGAATTCAAAACATCGGCAGTGGATAAGATATTGAAGAAAAAATCACATGTTTTATTTAAAAAATAAAAATATTTTGTTCTTTGTGTGTTGCAGGAGAATATCAACCGTGTAATTACACTGTGATGGACGAGTACGAAAATGATAATGAGGTGTACTTTGGTCATCGACAAACAACAGTGCTTTGTAATTTGAATTTGATTTGCACCAAAAATTTTAATGGTATGTGTGTGGATCCTAATGAATGCGAGTGGGTAGAAAGACCTCAATTCTCTCTCAAATGAAATAGTTCTAGTATACCTTACGCTTACAAGTATTTCATAGAACGTGCTGTAATTTGCAAACTATCTGTAAGCAAAGACTTATTTTGATTAGTGTTAATTACAAGTTTCCTTGTTTTCCTTAAGTAAAATGTTTGGTTTTTGGATCAATAAATAAAAAATATATAAATTTTTGAGTATGCAAATTTGACCTTTTTTGGGACTGTAAAACATTGAAATGTTAAAAATGTTATATCACCCAAATACAAGATTTTTTCTCCTCGAAATGATTTTTTTTCAACTGAACCCCAAATCGTGTCGTAACATACTGTGTAACGTAACTAAATGTACTTGTCTTAGAGTACTGTGTAATAGTCGAATGTAATGTAATTTAATTACTGTATTGTAATTTAATTCATAGACGAATGTAATGTAATTTAATGTAAGTTAATGTACTGTGTAATAGGGTGATTCGTTTTCCATATCAATCATTCAATATTTACATTGCATGATTAACTTTCTTAAACATTGCAAAATATTAATAGCCATGGGTGAACTGTAAGCGTTTCAGCGGGTCACGTTTCGCACTAGACTCTTGTGTGCTCCTTGATAGTTTAACGAGTAGCATTTACAGTAGCTTTTGCCGGCTTTTAGTCTATACTGTTCGGGCAGAATCCATAACAGCCAGTAACTCTCTTTGATTTTTGGGGAGGATCTTCTTCTGTAACTCCAATGGCATTCTTCACTGCTATTTTCAGATGCAGGTGCAAAGATCATATCGACATCCAACTTGCAATGTTACCAGACGAGATACAAACCAATGTCTTACAAAAATACTCTTCTAGCTATCGGAGTTCAAAGAACATTGTTCTTATAAATTGCAAGCGAGTTTTTACATTATTTGAGCCTTCATTGTAGAAATGAATTGCCTTGCAGTTAGGTATCGTGAGTTTGTCTGGGCTTTCTCATTATGGATGCGATGCAATGCAATGAAACTCAGAGATACATCGTGTAAATTCACATTTCAATTATTAAAAATCATTAAAATAAATATTTTTATTATATATTTATTTTAATATATAATTATGATTTATTTAAAAAATATTAAGAGTTTATACTTACGTGTAGCGAATGAACGTGTCATACCGCAGTAGTTTGCTCTGAAGAAACTCCATTCCGTGTGCACTTTTCGAATGCTCAGAAAACATATTAAGATCTTGTTGTGTTAATTGTTATTTCATGTTGTTTCATTTTGCCACCGGGCAACATATGCCCAATTGTAGAATAAAGTGTCTATCACCGTGTCTCTAATGAGGCATCCGCCACGAAGCTCCAGTTCTGACGTGCGTAAGTATTGGCGGGACAACCCCCAGTGGGCGTGTCTGCACATTGTAAGCCGCGCATTATAGTGGTTAACGAAACGAGTGTATAAATAGGCGTATAATTGGTATGATTAAAGAAACGTGCGATGATGGAAGCGAGTTTCTTTATTTACCACTAGTGCAATTATACGCATTTATACATGTGTTACGTTCAATATGTTTTCGTTTCCATTCAAAAATATTTTTATTTTGAATAATAAAAACATATCTTTAGCATTCCATATTTACTTTGATGATGTCATTTTTATTCCGAAGAAGACCAAATTTAATAGGCCTTGCCTGTGTATTTACGATCACTGTAGTGATTTAATGAATTTAGAAAGCATGGAGGATTACAATAATATTCCGGTCGAAATATTAGAAGAAGCTGAAAGCGCAATGAATGCATTGCTCCTTACAAAAAGTAAAGATGTCTATGAAAAAGAATATAATCTATACAAGTCGTGGAAAATTGCTAAGGGAGTCACACATAGTAAGTAAGCTTAGATGTGTTCATAAATGTTTGTTTTCCATGTTACACGGAACCTTTGAATTTCAACTTTTTGTTTATTTATTTGTGTTTCCGTAGAGACGTAAGTAAACGATTTTGAGCCTTTTGCCGAGTTCTCATGAATAGTTGCGTGGTTTTAATTGCACGCGTTCCACATTAAAGTAGTAATAATAAACGATTTTCCATGTAATTAATGAGCATAATTCAAGTAGTAAACGAAAAACATTAGAATTAGAACCATCATTACAATATTCATTCGAATTTAAAAGTATTTAATTTATGGTAACATCTTGAAAATTACTAAGAAAATAACTACAAAACAAACAATTGAAAAAGGGCAGAAAAAGTAATGTGCTCAATTTCTAAAAAAATAGTAGTGCTATAAAATGGCAGAAACTTTCTCACACTCGTTAGTTTTCTAAAATATTTAGTCTAGGCATGAATAAAACACGCCGTAAGTAAATATAATATTTACCTTACGGGTGCGTGTTATTTACGCGACGTGAGATATACTTTAAACACCTTACATTTCTGGAATTTTTGAATAATCAAATAAAACATGAAAATAACATTAATTAGTGCATTTAGCACTATACGTAAAAAAGTTGAAAAAAATGACCTAGCGCCGTAGCGATCTCGGACCGAAGGATCGAGGGTTCGAGTCCCGCATCGGGCATGGTGGAATTGAGTTCGTCCTTTCAGCCCCCTATCATCGTACCGTGCCATCCTCATAGTTATAATACCATGGTCGCCAATGACCTAGAAGTTGATGCGACCTTAAATAACAAAAAATGTATAAAATTATCACCTTACATCACATTCTCCTACATTCATATACGCGAAAGTAAAAGCTACAACAGTTCTGAACTCCGCAAGGTTGCCTCGAAGCATCGCGGCTCGGGGAACCCCTTGCGGTGATGACGACGAAGCAGTCGAAACCGGTTTCGTGTTCGTTATCCTTTCTGCACGCTTCACTGAACAGTGACCTTGTGGGATGTGAAGGAGTGATTGCGAGGAATCTGCTGTGCGGAGATCATCACTGCGAAGGAACAGGAGAAGCAACGGGTAAATTGAATTAGTTTGTTCCACCTTACTCTAGAAGACAGTGAAGGTAAGTTCGAAAACATACTGATAAATCAATGTGTATCTAATACTGTTTTCCGATATATTGTCGATAGTTAAATGGAATTAACAAGAAATATTTTCAGAATACAAATTTAACAAAAAATACACACTTGCAATTTAGGGAAAAATAATATTTTTGACATGTTTTTGCTTTCTTTCAGTAAAAAATCCGTGTAGATAATTTATAACTCTTCTTCACATTTTGGAGATTGCTTGAAAAATTTAAGTGTTTAGTAAGTAGTTACAATATTTAAATTTCAGTATTTAACAAATGTATTAGTGTAATGAAGAAAACGTATATTTATATTAATATGTTATTTTGACGAAAATTCAAGAGCAAACACAGACACAAACAATACTTTTAACTTATTTTAAAATAGTTCAGTTGTTTGCAATGCATATTCAATTCAGTTTGCAATGCTAAATCAATTCCGTTTTCAGTTTCAGATCAGAAAGATAAGATGATGTGTCAAAAGTTGAAGTCCATGGTGTATTTTGTTCTCCTGATATCTGTGACGGCTTCGGTAGCAATTGCAATAGAGTGTTTTTCTCCGCTACCTCCCAATCAATGTGAGTTAGTGGATGTCGCATGCTTCACCTTCAATGAGACTGACTGCACCACTGCAGGCGGTTTTTTCGTGGCGCATGGTGGCGTCTGTGGCTTTTGCAATCTCTGTGTAGAGTTTGTAGGTAAGCTGTTATTTTTCACTTTCATATTTTCTGAGTTCATCGAATCCGTAAAATACCTTACTCTCTCTTGAATTTTGGAAGGAGTTTTTAAAGTTTTTTGTTGTAGAACTGTTTTATAAGAAATTAAAATATCATGCGACCTGTATCATTCTTCTACTACTTTCTAAGGATTTCACGATTCTTTATAAAAAGTATTAACTTAGATTGGAAAGGGCGAATATTTTAGAGACACTATAAAATTTCAAACAGTAGAGTGTGTAGTTCTACTACTTTAGTATACGTCAGAAATGTTGAATCATGGTAGCAAGCGTTTGAACGCCTTACCTTAAAAATCAAATTTCTTGAGGTTTAATGTAACATGGTGGCTCTAATGGTGTTTTATGTTAATGCAACAACATTTTCCGGTCTCTCAATTCACTCAAACCTCAAATGGATTGAAACTGAAATGTATTCAGTTGAACCTCTACTTAAATGAATTGAACACATACTTTAATTCATTATCTTATGCAATCAGCCAACCATCACACACACATTTCGTGAATAGTCATCCCGCCTAAGATGTGGCCTAATGTTCTGGGGACACACAGTCTATAGCTCCCAAACGTTTTGGTAACAGGACTGCACGAATAATACACCAATCCCACTCCCGTGTTTCTGGTAAACCTCATTCAAAGGGCGAAGTTGACTGTCATTTGCGTCGAGGAATACAATGTGATTGGGATGTTTATACCATGATTCACTATGTCTTTAGTAACTTCTGGAAGCATGGCACTATCATACCCAACAGACACATTGTTAACGCTGCTTCGACACATCCGATTCATTTGCCAATTTGATGTCCTTGATGTTCTTTGTTCTCTTTGTTCTTTGATGTAAAGCAGCCCTTACGAATCACATATGATATATTTTGACAAATTTATTTTCATTTTTGTGTCATGAAGTACTCTTATAACCCTCATTTTGATACAGAATGGTACAATATTATGATACACTTTGGTACAATATTAATTCACATGTTGTGTTTTCCCAGAAGCTAGAAGTTAATGATGCCTACTTTTTGATGTTTCGCAGACAATGGGCAACGTTGCAACACGTCTGTCAAGACTTTCAATACTGAAGACACTCCTGTGACGGCCATATGCAAGCATCCTTTAGTGTGTTCTACTTCCAATAACGGGCAATGCGTAAACCCGCACGAATGCGAATACAGCAATTCTTGATTTGAAAGTAAGTTGTCACGAAATTGATGAAGTTTGGCTCAAATTAAATGCTTCCTGTTTCATTATTTTGTTTTTGAGGTATTTTTTAATGTAATGTTTACTTTGTGTATCTCAAATTTCAATTAATTTTTTTATATTAACTAAATAATGATACTGTACATCAAACAAAAGAAGGAAATAAAAAAATACAGTGTCCATCAGTACAAGAATTTCTCTGTTTTATTGCTGAGATTTATTTTTCATCATTTGTCTTAGATTAAATCAAAACAGATCTCATTATGTGCTAGCACAAATAATCAATCAATTATCAAATTACCATTACATTATTTGACGCTTCCGAAGTCGATTTTAAATATTCCAGTCAGTTCCATTTTTATTGAAACTCAATACCGACATAAAAAATTTGTTTTGAAATAAGTGCTTGTTTTGCACTTAATGTAATAGAAAATTTTTGAGAAAATGTTTAAAAACTCGCAGGGCTTCGACCCAGTTCGCACTGACGAAAGAATACTCATTTCGAAAAATTCGTTCCAGAAGTTTAGGCACTACAGTCGTTCACAGACGGACAGCTTCCCGTGGTGTGGTCCCGAGTTCCATTCCCGGTGGAGGCCAAAATAATTGTAGCTTTCCTTTAAAAATCTTCCCAGTTTCCGTAGCATCCGATGAATACGATAAATAAGAGCTCAGACAGGCGGATCTTGCTAGTTAGCTGAAGGGAATACGTCGTGCTCACCACATGTCGCTATTACTCTCAAGCTTAATAATCAAACTACAGCCCGGCATAGGGAACATCGCTAGCAGTCCGGCAAAACGCGAAATACATTGATTCAAATGCAAGTAGGAGTTAGAAATGTAATATTCTTGAAGAGGTGCTTAAAAAGCCACCAAAGTCTTCCTTCCACCGAAAGTTTTCATTGTAAAACACCTCCTGTTCAGGAGGCGGGGGCTGTGTCGGGGGCCGGGCTGGGTAACGTGTCGCAGAAACAGCGAAGTTTTCCTTTGGCGCGCGCGTCGCGTGGGAGAACGCGCCGCGAGATTGACAAGCAGGAGAAGACGCGCGCCGCGGCGTACGTCCCGCGCAGTCTCCGCCTGGCGTCGCCTCGGCCTCGCCTCGCCTCGCCTCGCCTCGCGTCGCGTCGCGTCGCGTCGCGTCGCGTCGCGTCGTGTCGCGCGCGGAAAACTGTCACTTTCCAATTTGTCTCGCTGCGCGACGGCAGGCGGCCCCCGGGGAACTGCGGGAGAGAGGCGAAGGAGGCGTCAGGTCTCGCCCCGCCCCGCCCGCCCCGCTCCCGCCAACGGCTACCGGAACAGCACGCCGCCGCGACACGCGGGGCGAGGCGGGGCAAAAGGGGTGAATGGGGAGAGGTGAGGTGGGGCGGGCGAGGAAGGGGAAGGGCGGGAAGAGGTGGGACGAGCGAGGCGGGGCAAGGGGACGAAGTGGAGAGGCGAGGTGGGCGGAGCGAAGGGGAGGGCGGGGGGAGGTGGGCGAGGCGAGGCGGGGCAAGGAGGACGAAGTGGGGAGAGGCGAGGTGAGGCGGGGAGAGGAAGAGTGGGCGGGGAGGAGGCAGACGAGGCGAGGAGAGACGAGGAGAGACGAGGAAGCAGCGAGGCGGGCAAAGGCGGGGCGTAGACGGGGAAGGGCGGGGAAGGACGGGGTGAGGCAAGGCGGGGCGGAGCAGAGCGGGGCAGGGCGAGGGAAGACGAAATCAAGGCGTATATTGATTGGTCGATGTTTCTGGATCAAGACAACTGCCATGTGAGTGTGTGTAAGGGGTGAGGATATGACAAAGAAGAGGAAGGAAAGATCGCGCGCAGCCGGTGACCCGTTTATTAGGGTACTGCTGCGGCATTCATCTGATATAATACCATCGGAGAAGCCATGTAAATCTACCGTTCATAGCAGTCCGCTGCTACAAGTCTCTATTCAGCGGCTGCTTCGAACACGCTTTATAGCAAGTGTCGGAAATCCATTGTGGGACACAAAGCCTAGGACCTCCTGGTCAGAGTCGCTGTAGAGACGCGGCAATGCTAGCTCTGAGCGTACTCGGACGGTGAAAGAATGGAATAGAAAAGGAGCGGGAAACTATGATGCAGAGACCAACCAGTGAGTGCATCGTCGGCTCCTGACTCTCCCTGTTGCTCAGCTGCTGAGAAAAATATTGTCTCTTTTGTTTACATTTTTTCGCCACTATTAATTAGGATATACAGTTTTGAATGACCTAGAGGAGCAAAGTGGGCGTTGACTGCTTGCTTGCATTTCATTGGTTGTGAGGTTTTTGCGCTTACCAAGAAGTACATTGTGTAACCTCGCGGATCATTTGTCGGTATATGCGATCTGATCTGCGGAGTGTGACATTCTCTATAACAAGTGCAAGAACCTAGAAACATTAATTTAAAGGGTTTGAAAAATATCAAAATTATGATTTCCTCAACCTTATGTTACATGGGGCGAGTGTGAGGCTACGGAGAGATCTTGCAACTCTATGTCTTCTTGCGTTAAATGCTGGTAATCAAAGTGATGATCGTCCATTTTCCTTTCCATTGGATATTAACTCATAAGTCAATAAATAAATGACTGCGGTTTGGTAGTTGGTTCAGAAAAGATACACAATGTAATGACTCCTGGTGGTGAATTAAAACATTTGTTTATTTTAATAAGTTGTTAATTTCTTAATCTGAAATTACCCACAGGTTTACAAATACTAAAAACGCTGACTCATATAGAGAGAGACTACTAGGTTGATAGCACAGTTCTTGAGTTCATGTTCACTTGATTATTTTTAAACGCCTCACTTCTTTCGCACTGCGACATTTTCCACTGCACAGCTGCTCACCGCGCTGCACACATTTCACATCTCAAGACTTGGACCGAATTGCCGGCCGCCGGGGCCGCTCACGTACCAGGCAGGCGCCGAGCGCGGAAGCTGCCAGAAACCTGCGACAGCCTTCTCCGCGACCCGGGAACACTCCGGAACCCGGGGTTGGAGGCGCAGCGGTCTCCGACAGGTAATCCGATTTTTGTTAGAATGATAATGTGGGAAACGAACCATGCTACAACCACTTCGTGAAAAAAACATATGTATAAGAATATGTTTGGTAATGTTTGGTATGTATGTGCGTATACAACGGCACATACTTTCACGCATTATTTGCAACTTTTGTAATTTTCAAAAATTCAGAGATTTTAACGAAAATGAGACCTGATCAATTTTATAAACATACTTTGTTCTATCTAAAGAAAAAAGTTGAAGCAATTTTGAGAAAAAATTCTAATTGCATTAACTTCAAGGACAAATTACGCGAAAACTACTAGTTATTAAAAAAAATATCCATGAACTTAGTTGCAGATCTGAAGTTTTAAAACAAATTTCATTACGGAATGTTAATTTTTTGCCGCTTTTAACGACCCTTAAAAGGCCGAGCATGTTGGTCGTTATGAGCGATTGTTGTCATAATCGGTTAGGCTAGTTTAGGTACATATTGCAAGTTTTCCTCACGCAGAAATTATGAAAGACGAAAACCAACCATCCCTTAGCTGGTTCAAGATATATTAAATTCAACATTTTTTTGCCATTTAATACTAACGTAATCCCTATATGAGTTTTTTGTAATTGTAAACAATCTACTTTTCCGACATCGTGTCAGTATATAATGATGCGTTTTGAGAGCCACCAAACATCTGCGTTCGTTTGAAATGACTAATACATCACCGTTTCTCGAGTTTAGCATTGCTCTGTGCTATGGTGGAGACGCTTATTCTGTGCTGTTAGTAGCTACTACGAGTACTACATATATTCTTTGTGCAGGTCGTTATAAACAACACAGTCACATAATCAAACGAAGCAAAGAACGTCGGTCAAAGTGATGGGTCGTTTTAATCAATGTTGTAATAAACGGAGAGTATATGAGATTCAGCGTGGTCCTCACATTTTAGCCGTTGTTTCCAGTAGGCCGTAGACACTGATGTCATTATTCACGGTTTTGACTATAAGTAGCTAAATGTAGCTTCACTATGCGCACTTTTTGTTGATCTAACCTCTTGCTTGTAATGGTAGGAGTAGATGTAAGGGCGAGTTACTATTTTGTTAGCAACGCAGAAAAATCATACTTGCAATTCATTTACAGATGGAAATAAGTGTTCTATAACTCGGAAACGAAAATGTCTCTTTTTTTCAAATATTGCTAATATCGCTATTTTAAAAAAATATTTTTATTTCTTTATTTTAAACTTTTACTCATCTTTCAACCATTTACAGTCAAAATGACGGAAAGTAATTCTGTAACCCAAGAAAACGTGCGCAGATAATCTTCTCCCCCATACGTTACATACAGTTTTTTTCTTTTTGACTAAATAAATCTAAATCTAAAAACTATCTCATCTACTAGGCAAATTTACTTTCCAAAATTGCTTACTACACTTTGATTATAATATTCACACTTGATCAGCTGTGACGCCTGTCTTTCAATCGGAAGCTTAAAACGTCATCATTGTGACGCCACTATAGAAACATTCAAGCTCCCGATTGGATGACAGCGTCATAGCTGATTAAATGTCAACGGTCATAATGTTTTAATTGAAGTATACTCGCCAGTGAGCGAAACTCCTCGTTAGAGTGTTTGTTCTCACAGTTTTAAACTGAATCATTCAGTCAGTGAGTTCATGAGTCACATCTTTGAATGAACCAATAACATCGGGATAATTCTCGTTTGTCTTTCTAATGTTTGCTGGCACTATTAGTTTCTGAGCGAACCTACATTTACACAGAGTGTTTACTTGAAAATGTATTAAAGAGAAACGCGAATCAGAGAATTTTCAGCTGCTTGTGAGCTTCATGATCATAACGTCGGCGACAGACACAGTTCAGAGAGAATTCTATTAGTAAAATGTGACTGGCTAGGGAACATCAGCTTTAAGATCTCGAATTCTATAATAAATTATCATTAATATATTTCATTTTAAAAAAATCGTGTTTTAAAAATTAACAAATATGTAATATATTTAAAAATATTGTTTATATCCGAATAATTAATTAAATTAATTCTTCAAAAACAAATTTTGTTTTTGTACAAAGGGGCAGATG